TATTAATTATATATATATATATATATATATATTTAAATTAATAAAGAAATTATTTCTAAACTTTTCAATAATTGATTGAATTTTATTTACTGTGTTTTGCAGTATTACATCATAAATATGATAGCAAAAAATCTAGCACATACCGAAAAAATGATACTGCATTCGCCATTCGTTATGGTACTGGCAGTCTGTCTGGGTTCTTATCTGAAGATGTAGTGAATGTGAGTTATTATTACAAGCAAAAAATTTAATAAAATTTCAACTATAATTGATCTAATCTATAGTTTTAAAACACATTATAGGATAAACCTTCGGATGGGTTACTTTCTCTTAAAAAAAAAAAAGACGACTATTTATTTTTTATGTATTTTTGTCTTCTAATTGTGTAGTATATGACAATACAAAATAATGTTCACTCATATTTAGCCGCCATTCAAAAAACATGCAAAAAAAGGTTTTTTGCGATTATATCTGAAATTATATTGGAAAAATTTTCAAAATAAAAAAAATTGTTTATTATCATGTTTTCTACAAAGAAAATCCTATACATAATTTGACGCTGGATGTGGGTGTAAAAATTTCCAGACCATATCTTGAAGATAAGCATTTTTAGGAAAAACAGTTCAAACAAAAGTTGTAAGATTTAAAAAGAATTTTTTAAGGTTGACTTACTGATTGCATTTGTTTTACCTTGGGTGGTGCGCCAAAATCAGGTCAGGGTCTCATCGACTTTTTAAATAAAAAATATTCTATTTTAAATAGGACCACCCCCAAGTAAATAAATCTTTTTAAATCCTACAACTTTTATCTGAATCATTTTTCTCAAAAAATGCTTTATTTTTTAGATGTTGATTCAGATGTTTAGATTGAGCCGTCTGGGACTTTTTACTCATCCTGTATAAGAAATACATAGTCATTTCTCTTTTTAGTTCATCTGAAGGTTTACCTGTTTTGTTTTCCAAAATAAAGCATAATATTTTATTAATAATATCGATATTCTATTATAGGTTGCTGGCCTTAATGTTCAACATCAAACATTTGCGGAAGCGGTATCAGAGCCAGGGTTAACCTTCGTTGCTGCAAAATTTGATGGTATCTTGGGAATGGCTTACTCCACGATATCCGTCGACGGAGTGACTCCCGTCTTCTATAACATGGTCAAACAAAACTTGGTGCCACGAGCTATTTTTAGTTTCTATTTAAATCGGTAAAATTTTTTTCGTATACATTATCTGTTTCTAAAAATGTTTTTTTCTTTGTTGTAATAATCTTTTCATATTACATAAAATGCATAAAACCTATACAGAGATCCCTCAGCTGCAGTGGGTGGTGAAATTATATTCGGTGGTTCCGATCCCGATCATTACAAAGGCGAGTTCACGTATCTTCCTGTTACTCGTAAAGGATACTGGCAAATTGAGATGGATAAGTATGTAATTAAACCATACAATCACGGGTCATATTTTGTCATAAATTATTAACACTATGATACTACAGGGTTCAGGTGACAGATCACACTTTCTGTGAGAGAGGTTGCCAAGCTATCGCTGACACAGGCACTTCCCTGATAGCTGGGCCAACGTCAGAAATCAAAAGTATTAACGAATTGATTGGAGCTACTTCTATTGGTGGAGAAGCAATAGTAAGTATCTGATTTTTGCCCTGTAGTAACTTGCAACAATATTAAATAAATTACATAAATAAGAATTAATTTATAATAAATGATTGATTACCAATATGAATAATTAATATTAATTACTTAAAGGTGAATTGTAACCAGATTTCTGATTTACCTTCGGTCAATTTCACACTAGGTGGTAAGAATTTCGTTCTCACTGGTGAAAATTATGTCCTTAAGGTGAATATAAATGGCTTATGTAATGATTTAAATTATTTTAGAATAAAAATAACGTCATATTTAATTTTCTCTAGATTAAACAATTTGGTAAGACGATATGTATGAGTGGTTTTATGGGTTTGGATATGCCTAGTCCATTATGGATTTTGGGTGATGTATTTATCGGCCGGTATTATACTGAGTTTGACATGGAGAACGACCGAGTGGGATTCGCTATATCAAAATAAATGTCGATTGCTTTTTTATGAAGTTGCCGTTAGACGCTAGAAGATTTAAATGACAACTTCGTGAATAATTAATTAAAAATTTCTTAGACTACTGTCTTCTTATTGCCTTATTTTTACTTAGGTTCCATGCAATACTGTTGTTAAACAATGTCTATGTGATATTTAACAAAGTTAGAAGAGATATTCCAAGTGTAGCATATCCTCTTCATAAAATTGTATTATCACAAAGTATATATTAAATATAATTAAGTTTATTACAATAAAATATGTATTCTTTTCGTATAGTGATTTTACAGTACAATTCAAGAGTATCACATTTAGGTTTTATGAATATGACTTCCGTCCTAAGTGAATCAAATGCGCTCAAATGTGTATAGTAGGACACCTAATGCAAGTGCATCTTGTATATAAAGCATAATGAGATATGACAATATACACTATATGATCTTTTAATTTTTTTTATTAATTTTCTTAAAGTCGCACTTTTGTTTTTCACGTTGCGAAATAAAAATTGATAAATTTCGCTCGTTTTTGCAATGGAAATTAAATGATTAAAACGGTCCAAATCGAGCTAAATAGATATTACAATAATAATTATTCCATCTTAAAATTATTTGCGATATGTCGAAAATTTCGAATTATTTACAATATAAACTAACCAAAAATGTCAAATTTCGTACGTTTCGGGACTCACACGTTCTTCTTCAGCGACAGATAGTATTCCTATGTAGCGTTACAGACATATCCTAATTTGGATTGATATTCCTGTTCTCAATGTATTGTTGTCTAGAGTTAAATAATTAATTGTCGTCAATAAAGAAAAAGATAAAAATTAAGTGAATATTTTAGTCGAAGATGATATTGAAATTGATAAATGAATAATTACGTTAAGGATACTACGTCATGAAGTTTGATAAGAATTGAAAATAATAGCCTACAAAAAGACATATGAGAGACAGGACCGTCTGATCGAGTTGAACATATGTTACAATGATACAACGCAAAATTATAATAACGGAAAATATAAACAACTATAAGGTTGACATTCATTTAACTCTGTTTTAATAAAATCTACAGTAAAAAAAAATAATATTTTTTGCCATATAGGTACCGATTGAGTTATGAGGATTTTGACAATGAACCTGTACGATAACCCGCCCCGGTTTCCCCTAATTTATTTTATATTATTACAAATACACTAACTTGCCAGTTATAATAAAGACGTATCATGTTTTTGTGTCATTTGTCTCATATACTTTTAAAATTAGAATTACAAACCACGTGACCATGAGAATTAAAAAGTATTTTTTATAGCGCGAAATATGAATATTAGAACTATAAACAATTTAAGTTAAAAATATAAAAATATTGATCTGTATCAATCCTTTCACTGTGAAAAGTTTGACACAAACTGCAAGTAGACTTAGCACAGTATAAAAATTATAATATTTAATTTTTAAACAATTGCTGACAAAATAAGTACCAAAAGCATTTCAAAGGTATGTTTGATACTTATTACGAAATTTAGCAAATTTAAAATTCTTAAAAATCTAAAATTTGTTTCAAGTCTACAGTTTTATTTAAACATGTTTATCGTTTTTAAAACATGTTTTATATTAGATTTTCTCTAGTGCGTACAAATATTACAGGAATTCTTAGGACATATATAGTAACAATTGTCAGAATCGGTAAATGATAAAGATATATAATATTGCATTTAATGATAAAAAGTTGCAAGTTCCGAAAATTATGTGCCAGCTTTTTTTTGCTTGATTGCATGAAGGCCATAAAAAACTGCTGTACACGACGACCACGACCACTGTTTTAACAATGGGTTAATTTTTACTCCATGAATTAATCTCGTTTTGCAATCATCTATAAAAGTTTAAATATTATGAATATAACGATATAAAGAACAATATAAAAGCGCTTATATGATAATTATTTACAAAATTGTTTAAATCAATCAGATACTTTTATAAAATAAAATATCTTTAATAATTTTTTGACAATTTTTATTAGATAATAGCGAAGATAGAACTTACAATTATCCAATATATGTTGAATTTCATATGGTGTGATAAATTTATTCCATTCATGAGTACCAAGAGGTATTCTTTTGAAAATATATTCTGCTGCTACAATAACAACCAACCAAGATGCTACAGTTCTATTTTCTGTTGTTATAAAAATCGACCCACCAGGTTTCATAATTTCCACACATTTCTGTAGAGAATATTAGTAAAATATTTAATTCTCCTTGTAACCTTTACGTAATATGTAGAGTGTATATATTACGTATATATATTTCAGAAATAGGTAGCCAAACTTTAGTATCCTATTCTATCGTCCCTAAAAATGAAGAAAGATCATATAAATGTATGTCTGGAAAGTCTTCATTTTTGAGATATATACAGTTTTTGTTTGCGAGAGAATATCTCAAAAATTTATAAGTGACTTCCTTGTGTTTCACGATACGCTGAGCTTTTCTGCAGTTTTCGTTAGTTCGTCCATACATGAAATGAATAACTAACTCAATGTTGGATTAAATCTCTCTCATCTTGGTAATATTATCTTAATTATGCAATGTTTAGATAAAACTGATTTTAATTTCTATCTATGACAAGCTACTTTCAATGACAATATCATTTGCTCTATCACAATATTTACTTGGTGTGATATTTGTTCATGTAAACTTTTGAGATAATGTGTTTATATCGAAAAAAAGAACAAGAATTTCCTATGGTTATACGATGTTTCTTCATCCTTAGGAATAGTAAAATATGATACCAAAGTTTGGTCATCTATTTCTGGAATACTCTGTATACCTTTAAAAATAATTGTGCATCCGTTACATGCTCCAACACCTCAGAAGCCACAACAGCGTCGTACGATTCCCTCTCTTTTTGAGAAAAATCTTCCACGGTTGTTTGAATATAGTTCACTCTCTCCAATATATTAGGATCCAATTTTGCATGTTCTTTTGCAGCATTTATTAACTCTGCCGATGCATCTATTCCGGTTACTTGCGCCCCTATTCTAGCTAAACGCTCAGTCAATATACCTCCGCCACAGCCAACATCCACTATCTTGACTCCTTCCAATGGAAGAACTGAATTCTGCATTTGGACTCCAGCGTTTGCCAATCCATCCCTTACAAACTTTATTCTGAACGGCGCGTATAAATGCAGGTCAGATAACGAGCCGTTCCCATTCCACCAATCATTTTTGAAAACGGAGATATGTTCAATTTCCTTAGAATCTACAGTCGACATTGATTTGATGATTTTATATGAGGTATATTCTGATAATCTGCAGTAAATAATCAATCCTTATTTTCTTATATCCTTAGCTAAATAAACACTTTTATACAATATACTTATATAACTTAGGGTAAATAAAATATTGATGTTCCTTTAATGAAAAGTTCTCAAGGTATATCACATTTAACAAAATTTTTTATATTGAAAATTTATAAAAATTTTTAACAATATACCTCGAACTCATCCAAATTTTATAAATTTTCTTTAGAAGTTATAAATTGAGAAATCATACAATATTTCATAATTTACATATATCAGAAGACGCGGTAGTGTCTCCTGTTATGTAAAAAAAAACTACTAGTTAATTTAAAAGTTAGTTTAAAAGATTAATAATAGAAATATTAAATCATTTTTGTATAATAATATTTTTTTTGTATAATAGACACTACAAAGTCTCTTATCTCGAGCCACTAAAGCCCATTTTTGGAGGGTGCATAAAATATAAAAAATTTTGAATCGTACGTAATATGTCCTGATAGGCGGCATCGCCACGAATAATTTGAGCTAAAAAATGTTTTAATCGGTCAAGCCGATTGTTCTATTTACTTTTGTAATTCCGTGAAAATTTCTCAGACTTTTAATAAAATAATTAGAACATTTCTGAAATGCTAAGAAAGTTGTTCTTGAAATTCCATATGTAACATTCGGCCGATTTTCGAATCGCCTCCGCCTTCCGATGTCCCCCTCATCTCACCGCCCCGCGCGCAGACTAAATGCCGTTCGATCGTCGTGCGGCTTGACCGATTAAACAATTTTTTTTGCTCAAATTATTCGTGGCGATGCCGCCTATCAGGACATATTACGTACGATTCAAAATTTTTTTTACTTTAATAGAGGAATTTTAAGAACAATATAAACTTTCTTAGCATTTTAGAAATGTTGTAATTATTTTATTAAAAGTCTGAGGAATTTTCACAAAATTACAAAAGTAAATAGAAATTGTGAAAAATTCTTAAATTTATATAAAAATTTTAAAAAAATATATAAGAATTAAAAAAAAAAATGTTTACCAAAGTCAATCTATATAAGATAAAAAATGTAGTATAAACAGAGTGTACATTTACTAAAAAAAAAAAAAGAAATAATTCGGGATTCATATCACATTATTAGATAGGTATATATCATAAAATATATAATTAGATATCACACCTGCTTTGTAAAATATTTCTTGATGATCCAAAAGTACATTTGAAAACAGTCCAAGTCATCATGTCTGATGACAATTTACAGACTAACAGCGAATTATATTAGAAATTATCCAACAAGTAATAAGAAAATATAGTGAGATATATCTGAAAAATACCATTTCTTTGATTTTGCTAAGAAATTGAAATAATTGGATGACACTATACAATGACAATAATGACACATAAAAAGATATAGAAAAATTAAATAAAGTTATTTCAACAAAAGAATAAAAGTTTTACATTTAAAACAGGTTTTGCACATGCTTGTTAGAATTTTCTAATAAAACTATACGAAAAATTATTTAATATAAAACAATTTTCTAATTTATGCAATAATTAATTTAACTTGGCTTATGCAATAATAATCGGTAATTTTTCAATTTAACTGGGTGATATATGGTACATATGTATATAAATTTGTTTTTATATGTATGACATATAGCACATGAAAATAATTTAGAGAAATATTAAATAAATATGATATAAAATTTAGATAAACTTCAATAATTAAAAAAAAACAAACAAATTGTCAATATGAGCCAACACTAGTTCTTAGTGTGCACTTTTTATACAATTTATTCGAAATGAATAATAAAACGTATATACATTTCGATGGGTTAAGACCTATGGTTAAGGTCCTTTTCAGTACATATTAAATGAATATAAAAATGACAATTAAAAAAAAATACATCCACGATGATAGAGCATACAAATCATAGGTGTCAAAATGTATATACGTTTCATTATTCATTTCGAATAAATTGTATAAAAAGTACACACTAAAAACTAGTGTTGGCTCATATTGACAATTCTTTTATTATTTATTTATTTATTTATTTAACAGAGTCTTTTGATTGTCTTATTTTTTTCAATAATTTTATAGTTTTGTAATTTTCAGATAAGCAAACCGTATGTTAGTAAACTGGCAGCACACATGTATGCAACCAAAAATTGTTACATATTAGTATTAATCAGAAACCTATTTTCCAATTTTTAACAACTGTAATTTTAGCATTACAGTCGTGTAAGTTTTGTATAAGAATTGGGCATTACACATTGTAATGCTACAATTACAGTCAATGAGTTACTTAAGTAACGTAGACTCCTAAGTTCGTCTTAACACTTTGATTACGTTTATCTATCATTGATCTATATCTAAATAATATAAATTTTTGCAAAAACTACATCATCCATTTGTAACGATTTTATCAATCCGATTAAGAAAAATTTATATCAGAATGTAAAACATAAAAAAACATTATAAATAACATAAGACATTAAAATAATATACTAACTTTATTAACCATTTAGGAGTATGCTTTGTACTTTTTAAAGTGCAGTTGACATCATGTTCTCTCAAAATTTTTATTCAGATCTTAATACGTAGAGAATAAATAAAATACAGTTTTTTTATTGTAGTAAAAATTTGTTATTAAAGGTTTCACAACTGAACAAGAATTTTTTCAAATATTTATGTAGTCCAAAATCATAAAAATGTACGCTGCTTCCCAGAATGTAAACTATAATTGAAAATTTCTGGGTGGTGTTGGAGAATTAAATTCAATACTCCGAAATCAGTTTGGCAATCAAAGCATTAAGCTTAATTATGTTTTACTGATATTCTAACATAATCTGACATAACAAAAAAGTGGCAGATACCTGTGTAAAATTATGTAGCAAATAAAAAATTAAGTCTATTATCAATTTGCAATTTATTGATAAACTTTATTTTTTGTCCACCTCATTGTGTGCGTATATCCTGTCTCTTCACATCAAATATGTAATTTTTGCTAGATAAAATTTCTAGCAAACATTCGGTAAAAATCTGAATGATTGTCTATTTTAGCCACTCGGAAATCAATAAAACTAGACTCATTCGACGCGGTTTTATCCGAAGCGAACAAATCTAGTTAAAAAAACGTCGCTATGTTTCGCGTACAAAGATATTAAACGTCAAAGATTGTGGACTATTTAAGGTTAGGAAATCTGTCACAACACGAAACACTACGAGCATGGCACGAGCGTCAGTGTTGCCAAGTGTGTCCCCTAAAATCATGGACATAGGAATATAGATTATAGGGACCTAGAGTCCTAGATATCAAAGAAGCGCAACCGGCTTGAGTCAGTATCGCAAAATTACTAAAAACTGCATTAAAAATGGCGTTGTTTGCAGACGAGTTATGAAATAAACCAATCGTCTATAAGGCTACGCACAATAGGAGAAATATTAGGAACAGATATTAAATATAAGAATTTTAACCTGTCAGAAAGCACACATTCCACAGTACACAGTTCTGATAGGTTAAAAATCTTATTTTTCACAGATTTTAGATTCATCATTACTTTAACATTTACATTGTTAAATTTTAATATATGTCTTTCAACATATTATTAAAGATCTAATAAGATGCTATATAGAAGCATCAAATAATTGTTAGATGTGCTTTAGCAATTTAACTAAAAAGTGATATTACTGCGGTAGTTGTTTAGTGTTGCGTTGTAAGTCTGAAAAAATTTTCGGCACGTGATTGGGAACTACATACGCGGTATATAAAATTCACACATTATAAAGCGGGGAGCACAGACTTTTGCATAACGCATAAACCATATACATAAAGAATTTGATTGGTCCATTGACTCATGCATAAGAAAATGGGCCAATGAAATTCCTTATGCACATGCTTTATGCGTTATGCAAAAGTCTGTGCTCCCCGCTTAATAAGCATAGTGATCTAGCTTTGACCGCAGATGGCTTAGCCCGGATCCTCATACGGACAACAGCGCTTTGACACCGGACGCTGATTGGTGAAAAACGGGTTATGGGGGTAAATTTTACCCTCGCCACCGGTTTTTCACCAATCAGCGTTTGGTGTCAAAGCGCTGTTGCCCGCATGAGGATCCGGGCTTAGTTATTGCGGTTTCCTCAGAGACCCTGTAAGGAGAGACTCGCCAACTCGTCACGTGACTATGGGTGATTCTGATTGGCTAGGGTATGGATCGCACATCTGCGTTCCATGAACCGTAACCTATTCTAATAGAATACGCGTACATGACAGATGACACATGTGTACTGTCAGCTTGTGTTGCTTACTGAATAGTAAGTTAATTTATCACATCTATGTAAAATTTTGAGAAAGGTAATGTACATATACCAAGAATTACATTATTAATGAAATAGGTATCTCTAACTTTCGTATTACTTATTTTTAACTATAAATTAACTTCTCCTCTTAGGGTCTCTAGGTTTCCTTATTCTTGTTAATTTAAAATTTAGGGGCGCACGACTTCTACGATTTTATTGTCGGGGTAGTACTTCGCGGCTATGACACATTTCCTAACCTCCATAGTCGTCAACATTAACGCTTAATATCTCGGTTCGCGGACCAGAGCGACGCTTATTTCTGCGAGATTCATCCGTTTTTTGCAAAAACGCGTCGAATGAGTCTAATTTAATCGATTTTTAAGAGGATTGCCCTATATTTGACCTTTACCTATTTACAAACGTAAAACAAACGTTTATTAAAAAGAAACAAACGTTTATTAAAAAGAAACAAACGTTTATTAAAAAGGAAACAAACGTTTATTAAAAGGAAACAAACGTTTATTAAAAGGAAACAAACGATTATTAAAAGGAAACAAACGTTTATTAAAAGGAAACAAACGTTTAATAAAAAGAATCAAACGTTTATTAAAAAGAAACAACCGTAAAAAGAAACAAACGTTTATTAAAAGGAAACAAACGTTTATTAAAAAGAATCAAACGTTTATTAAAAAGAAACAAACGTTTATTAAAAAGGAAACAAACGTTTATTAAAAGGAAACAAACGTTTAATAAAAGGAAACAAACGTTTATTATAAAGAAACAATCTATCGAATGGTAGTGACGAGAAAAAACTGATGTTGGATTTCGAAGCGAAAAGTCGAAAATCGGTTCAAAATTTCTAGGTTAGAAATGCGTATATCTGCGTTCTCTATCGAATGGTAGTGACGAGAAAAAACCGATGTTGGATTTCGGTGAAAAGTCGAAAATCGGTACCAAATTTGTAGGTTAGAAATGCGTATCTCGACATTCTCTATTGAATGGTAGTACCGAGAAAAAACCGATTTTCGACTTCGAAGTGAAAAGTCGAAAATCGGTACCAAATTTGTAGGTTAGAAATGCGTATCTCGACATTCTCTATTGAATGGTAGTACCGAGAAAAAACCGATTTTCGACTTCGAAGTGAAAAGTCGAAAAACGATACCAAATTTGTAGGTTAGAAATGCGTATCTCGACATTCTCTATTGAATGGCGGTAACGAGAAAAAACCAATTGTCGACTTCGAAGTGAAAAGTCGAAAATCGATACCAAATATGTAGGTTAGAAATGCGTATATCGACATTCTCTATCGAATGGTAGTATCGAGAAAAAACCGATTTTGGATTTCGGTGAAAAGTCGAAAATCGGTACCAAATTTGAAGGTTAGAAATGCGTATATCGACATTCTCTATCGAATGGTGGTAACGAGAAAAAACCGATTTTCGACTTCGAAGTGAAAAATCGAAAATCGGTACCAAATTTGTAGGTTAGAAATGCGTATCACGGCATGCTCTATCGAATGGTGGTAACGAGAAAAAACCGATTTTCGAGTTCAGTGAAAAGTCGAAAATCGATACCAAATTTGTAGGTTAGAAAAAAGTCGAAAATGGGTACCAAATTTGATGGTTAGAAATGCGTATCTCGACATTCTCTATCGAATGGTAGTACCGAGAAAAAACGGATTTTCGACTTCGAAGTGAAAAGTCGAAAATGGGTACCAAATTTGAAGGTTAGAAATGCGTTTCTCGACATTCTCTATCGAATGGTAGTATCGAGAAAAAACCGATTTTCGACTTCGAAGTGAAAAGTCGAAAAACGATTCCAAATTTGTAGGTTAGAAATGCGTATCTAGGCGTTCTCTATCGAATGGTGGTAACGAGAAAAAACCGATTTTCGACTTCAGAAAATCGATACCAAATTTGTAGGTTAGAAAAAAGTCGAAAAT